GTCGGTGGCGTCGTTGTCGGTGTCCCCTAAAGCTTGTCCGGAGCATAACTCAGTCACTATAAGTCTGATTGACTTCAAACTTGGTATGCATGCTTCTTTCAGTAACCGGAAGTGCAGTGCACAAGGACCGTACACTGCAGTTCTTTATTTTTATATGCCCGAAAGAATTTTGGACATATTATGTTATACCCCCTGGCGTCTGTCCGTCCTTCCGTTGGTTTCTGGAGCATAACTTAAGTTCCATTTGGCCCACAATATTCAAACTTCATAGGATGATTGTCCATATTGGGTAGAAGACCCCTATTGATTTTGGGGTCATAAGGTCAAAGGTCAAGGTCACTATGACCTTAAAACTGAAAACGTTAGCAATTTGGTTTCCGGAGCATAACTTAAGTTCCATTTGGCCCACAATATTCAAACTTCATAGGATGATTGTCCATATTGGGTAGAAGACCCCTATTGATTTTGGGGTCATAAGGTAAAAGGTCAAGGTCACCATGACCTTAAAACTGAAAACAGTTTCCGGAGCATAACTTAAGTTCCATTTGGCCCACAGTGTTCAAACTTCATAGGATGATTGTCTATATTTGGTAGAAGACCCCTATTGATTTTGGGGTCATAAGGTCAAAGGTCAATGTCACTATGACCTTAAAACTGAAAACAGTTTCCAGAGCATAACTTAAGTTCCATTTGTCCTACAGTGTTCAAACTCATAGGATGATTGTCCATATTTGGTAGAAGACCCCTATAGATTTTGGGGGTCACAGGTCAAAGGTGAAGGTCACTATGACCTTAAAACTGAAAACAGTTTCCAGAGCATAACTTAAGTTCCATTTGGCACACAGTGTTCAAACTTCATAGGATGATTGACGATATTGGGTAGAAGACCCCTTTTGATTTTGGGGTCACAAGGTCAAAGGTCAAGGTCACTATTACCTTAGAACTGAAAACAGTTTCCGGAGCATAACTTAAGTTCTATTTGGCCCACAGTGTTCAAACTTCATAGGATGATTGTCCATATTGGGTAGAAGACCCCTATTGATTTTGGGGTCACAAGGTCAAGGTCACTTTTACTTAGAAATTGAAAACAGTTTCTTGAGCATAACTTTAGTTCCATTTAGCCCACAATATTCAAACTTCATAGGTTGATTGTCCATATTGGGTAGAAGACCCCTATTGATTTTTGGGTCACAAGGTCAAGGTCACTATTACCTTAAAACTGAAAACAGTTTTCGGAATATAACTTAAGTATCATTTGGCCTACTGTGTTTAAACTTCATAGGATGATTGTCCATATTGGGTAAAAGACCCCTAATGATTTTGGGGTCACAAGGTCAAAGGTCAAGGTCACTTTTACCTTAGAATTGAAAACAGTTTCTGGGACATAACTTAAAGTTCCATTTGGACCACAATATTGAAACTTCAATGGAGGATTGTTATTTGAAGGAGGTAATACTTTATTTTAGTCCCATGTCTTACAAATGCTTCATCTTTACTAAAAAAAACAAACACTTTCGGGCATATAATGCTCCGCCTAGCGGTGCTCTTGTTGAGTTATTGCCCTTTGTTAATTTTCATACTTTAATTTTGTCGGGGCCATTTCTCTTCAACTTAAAAAGCTATGGACTTGAAACTTCATAGGATGATAGATCTCATTAAGAAGAAGTGCAGTGCACAAGAATCGGTACTCTGCATTTCTTATTTTTTGAGTTTTGGCCCTTTGTTAATTTTCATACTTAATTTTTGTTCGGTCCATTTCTCAGAAAGTATAAAAGCTATGGACATGAAACTTCATAGGATGATAGATCTCATTAAGAAAAAGTGAAGTGCATAAGAACTGATACTCTGCATTTCTTATTTTTTGAGTTATTGCCCTTTGTTGATTTTCTTACTTTATTTTTGTCCTGGTATTTCTCCTCAAGTATGAAAGCTATGAACATGAAACTTCATAGGATGATAGATCTCATTAAGATAAAGTCCAGTGTACAAGCACCGGTACTCTGCACTTCTTATTTGTGAGTTATTACCCTTTATTAATTTTCATACTTTATTTTTATCCAGGCTATTTCTCATAAATTATAAATGATATGGACTTGAAACTTCATAGAATGATAGATCTTATTGATAAGAAGTGCAGTGCACAGAAACTGCTGCTCTGCACTTATTATTTTTTGAGTTATTGCACTTTGTTAGTTTTCATATTTCATTTTTGTCCTGGCCATTTCTCCTAAACTATATTGTTAACAAGTGACACATCTGACTTTCGGAGTTCTAGTTCATTGTACAAAAGTATAAAATTCGGCAATTTAAATTCATTATTCATTTCTTGCTTACAATTTTTATTCTTATTTATTAAAAAAACAACAACAAAAAACAACAACAACACAATAATTTATATCTTATGATTATCCTAATCAAGTAAATTATTCATTAATTATTTTCAATGACTAAACACATTGAAAAGTATACTGTGGAACGTCGCGAAATGACCTATACTGTGTCAGTGTGACATAAAACCCAATCAAAACAAACAAACAAACAATAAAATATTTTTTCTCTAATGTATATCAATGATAATAAACTGACCCATTTATTGTTGCTGATAATAACAAAATTGAAACTTGAATAAAACATATAAATACTTCAATAAAGTATTTTTCCTTCTAATTTATATCATTTAATATTAAGTTTACCCATTTATTTATCATCTTAATACTGTAATAATAATGTTTAAATAAAAATAAGAATGGGGAGGAACTGTATAATTATTTGGAAATATGCAGACGGTTCTCCTCCAAAATAAGGAGAGAACCGTCAGGGAGGACACGTCAGGGGAGGAACTGGTAAGAGAGAGAATAAAGTCTGACTACTACCTTTTTGAGATATTGCCCTTTGTTTTTTTCCATCCAGAGCATTTATAAATCATAAACTCTTTGAGATATGATCAGCTCTGATAGATCTCATTCAGGGGAAATGCATTGCACAAGAACGTTAACTCTACCCTTTAAATTTTTTTCAGTTATTACCCTTTGTTATCTTTCATTTTTAATTTTTGTCCTGAGTGAAGCATAACTCGAAAAGTCTTTGAGATAGCAATCTGAAACTTCATAGTGGATAAATCTTTATTATTGAGGTGGAGTGTAGTGCACAAGAATGATAACTGTACCCTCTTTAATTTTGAGTTATTGCCCTTTATTAGTTTCATGCTTAATTTTCATCATGACCGGCTTAACTCAGAAGTATTGAGTTGACAACTTAAAACTTTATAGTTTCACAGATTTTAATTCATTAGGAGAGCATTTCACAAGAATGATAACTATACTCTATAATTTTTGAGTTCTTGGCCTTTGTTTTTTTCATGCTTGATATTTGTCTACACCACAACTGAAACAGTATTTGAGATATCAAGTTGAAAATTCATAGACAGATAGATCTTATTGTGGAGGAGTTTATTGCTAAAGAATAATAACTCTTCATTTCATTATTTTTATAATATTGCCCTTTGATACTTTTCTTCCATATTTTTGTCTTTTAAAGATAATAATTTGGATGCATCTTAGTAAGGAAGACTACAGTATTCAAGAGTATACAACTCTCAGTTTCATTATCTTGTAGTTATTGCCCTTTTTATTTTGCATTCATAATTTGTCAAGGCAATAGCACTTAACAGTATTTAAGATACCATTTTGCAACATCATAGATGGGTAGATTTCATGGAGGAGTTGTGCAGAGCATAATAACAAGAAGTTTTCTCTTCATAATTATTTACTTATAGCCTTTTGTTATTTTTCATGTTTATTTTTTTTTATTGCTGTTCTTGTCTGAAGACTTTAACATTGACCATACTTTTTTCATTACCGAATGCCCTAGGCAGTCATCGAATTTAGCACTAGCCCGATGGCCCATGGCCAGTGAAAATAAGGTCGGGCTAGTGTAATTCAATGACTGCTTAAGGACCTAGAAGTTGAGTTAGGAACCCAGGTGAACACCCCAAGCAGGTACTATGAACCTTCTATGGATGCCATGCAGTCACAGTATAAATGCACAAAAATTGTTTTGCATGTAATTGATGACTGTATGGCAACCCTAGGGTGTTTGTAGAATGTCTAAATGGTTCTTTATACGACTATGGCGTTTCCAGGGTGACTCAGGATGCAATGTGAACCTGGCAAGAGTGCCGTCATTATAGTACCCCCCCCCCCCCCCCCGAAAGCACTAAAGATGCTGTATGATCGTATATAAACTCCATTAGCAAGCCCTTTGATTGCCATGTAAATGCTGTACAAATGCCATGAACATACAAATGTAGTTGTAATGCACAGTATAAGCAAGATGCCAGTGACGGCTAGCAGAAATTTGCAATTTTGTCAAAATAAGATACTAGGGTTCCTTAATCATTATCACACATGTCATTCAGCACTGTACTCTAATGCTAATATTTCATAGATTATGTCCCTTATTAATAGAAGCTAGCTAATCACTCAAATGATAGCTCTGAGTTTCATGGACAAGGTAAAAATCTTTCCGCTTGATTTACATCAAAAGAAATTACTGGAGTAAATTACCACTGAATGGTCTCTCTTTCCTCATTGTGCTCATGTATTATTGTACTCAAAGTGATTGATAAATTATACTTCTTTATCAAAATGGTTATATAAATTATATAAAAATGGGAGATTTTTTAAGACAGAGAGGAAAAACCATTTAGTGTATGGAATGTACGAAATTAGCCACTGTACAAATTAAACAACCTCTACCAATCGGAAATTAAGACGTCATACAATGATAAGCCAATCAAACACATAGCTGTTTACAAATACCCTTAGATAGTTCTTCGATGTTTCATAGACATGCTGCCGCATTAATATTAATTATGTATCAAGCCAGGGAGAAGTAATGCACATGAAGTTACATGCAAAACAGTACGAAATTAGCCAAACTCACTCTACCTGTTGTTGTACTAAAAATGCTTTTAATGAAAACTTTTTGCAACTTTTCAGGAAAAAAAGATGTTGAAAAGAAAATTGAGCAATTGCAGTGATACTGAAGCACAAGAAAGAATATTGAAAAATAAGAAATCTGATGTACATGAGACCGAAGTAACAGATACTGAGGATTTGCACAGTGAACAGGAGACTGCAGGAGCTTCATGTATGGGTGATCATTCAGCCAAACAGAAAAATTTTCAAGAAGAGAAAACAGAGGATGAGACCGACAAGGTCAGGATATTTCAAATTGTACATTTGCTTTTAAAATGTGAGTTACTGATACATGGAAAGCCGGAGTTAAGCCTTGGATTGAAGCATTTTAGATAACATGTATGATGAACGTGAATATAATACAACAAGAGGGCCATAGTGTCCCTGAATCGCTCACCTGGAAAATGTACCCTGGGTTGAGATTTCGAGTGCAAACAAAATCATGAACAAGAATGCATTTGTGAAAATGCAATGTGATCGCAAGTAGATTTATAAAGTTTTTCCAATATTTGCCAGTGTAAAAACAAAATTAATGACCCCCCAGGGCTTGGCCAATATACCCTGTTGCCACAATTTGAACAATCATGCTAGAGGTCTACTAGCGGATGCTACACAACAAGTATCTAAGCTCTAGGTTTCTCACAAAACTTTTTTAAAGTGTTATTTTTCTGTCTGTAATAATGTTGACCGTCGAGGTCATGTTACTGAAGTTTGCTAAAATTGGTGTATTTTTGTTATTAACGGACAGATTAATAATTGATACATAGACTAAACAAAACTTATGACAAAACCGACATGTTGCAAAATTTATGGTGACCTTGACCTTGAAAAGACTTGACAATCAAGGTCTTATTATTGGGACAAAAATAAAATTGTTTGTTTCCCCTTCCCGACTCATTAAAATTAGGGTTGGGTAGGTAGGTAGTAAATTATTACTTTTTATATGTGCATAATAATAAATAATCTGCATATATGTATAATGAACTATTGAAATTAATTTATTAAGTGCAATAGTATAATTACGTATGTAAATGCATTACCATATTCACAACTGACATATGCAACAATTTATTAACTATGCTAGCTGTCTAAAATATCAGATTAGATTGTACCTATTGTACTCACTCTAAAAGAAAGAAAAACTTTCATCCCCTAAAAATCTTTTGGGTAGGGGCAAATTTGTTGGGTAGCTAGGGAAGGGGAAACAAATTAAATTTTATTTTAGGCCTTGAATGTTGCAAAAATGGCATACCTTCGTAATTAATTGTTGAATTTGATTGATACTTGCACTTAACAACACTTGATGATAAATGCAATATGTTGACGTTGAAATGACCTTGACTGTCAAGGTCATGTTATTGAATTTTGCTGAAAATGGTGTAACTTTGTTATTAATGGACAGATTTGATTGATACTTGGACAAAACAACACTTATGACAAAACTGACATGTTGCATAATTTATGTATGACCTTGGACAGTCATAACATTGAATTTTGCTAGAATTTGTGTAACTTTTAATAATGGATGAACTTGATTAATACTGGGACAAAACAACAGTTATGACATTAAACACAAACTTTGTTATTTATGGATAGATTTGGTTCATACTTTGACATAACTGCATGTAGCCCTTAACTGTCATATTAAGAAATTCAAATTTGGCTTTGATCTTCAAATGACTATCACCAAAAAAAAGCCTCGGCAGAAATAAAGGACAGTCGAGCGTGGCCCCGGCTTGCGATTGCTCTTGTTGATAAAGTAAAGCATTTTATATACAAACTACATGTACAATTTCACTCTTAATTTTAATTGTAAGAAATTTACATGCATAAAAAGTTCAGTATTTTGGTAATAACAAATAATCTTTTAAAAGCCATTTTGACATTCATTGTTCAGTATATATAAAAGAGCAAATTAACACTTTCTGGTTTAATCCCTTCTGGCCTGACTCAGAATTGGCATCTTTCACTTAGCTGTAATTGATTTATCAACCATGTGTGTTTAAACACCTGGGAAAACACATTATGCTCAATTCTTTAAATAACAAGGTTGATAGTTTGGCTGGCTTCATCCTTTCAAAATGTAAGGGATTATCTCTATTAGTTTCTTTTACATTTTAAGAATGGCAGGTGCTGCATAACAGTTTCATTCATCAAAAAACGTGATTCTGTTGTTAAAACTCACAGTAGTACTGTAAAGACACCCACTGACTTTGTAATATTTTGGGGCGTTCTTATTTCTTTTTTAGATAGATTTCAGCAACACAGGTATTAAGAAGGCAATAGAACATCTAAATAGATTTCTGACTGATACAAATTTAAATGCACTTAGAGAAGTTATCAAGAAGTCAAGAGATGAAGGGGAACTTGAAGTTGGTCTTGGAATTCATCTTATTTCAAAGTTGGCAGGAAAAGCTTACACTAGTAAACAAAAGAGCTTTCGAAGCTGTCCATGTGGATGTAAAGAAAAACTGCCAGACAATGAAACCATGTGGATAGGTAAGTTGTATATAATTATAACCCCCCACAACGAAGTTGTAAGGGGGGGTAAACTGGAATCAGCTCATCCGTCAAGCCGTGTGGACGTCTCCCTGTGCGGCCGTCCATTGGTTTTTTCTTGTCCGCCCAAAAACCTAAGATTCCTTTGACACACAGTCTTCATATTTGGTACTTAATTGGTCATGATTAGTATATGATCCCTACTGATGTTGAGGTCACCCGATCAAGGTCACAGGGGCCTTGACTAAAAAAAGCTTTTCCACCCAATAACTAAAGATTCCTTTGACCCACAGTCTTCATATTTGCCATGGAGGTTGGCCATGACCATTAGATGACCCCTATTGATTTGAGGTCACCAGGTCAAAGGTCGGGGTCACAGGGGCTATCAATTTTTAGGTCACTGGGTCAAAGATCAAGGTCACAGGGGCCTTGACTTAAAAAAAAGCTTGTCTGCCCAATAACTTAAGATTCCTTTGACCAACAGTCTTCATATTTGGCATGGAGGTTAGTCATATTATCTAGAGGTCACTTGGTCAAAGGTCAAGGTCACAGGGACTTTGACTTAAAAAAGTTTGTCCGCCCAATAACTTAAGAAACCTTTGACCCACAGTCTTCATATTTGGCATGGAGGTTGATCATGACAATTTGGTGACCCCTTTTGATTTTGAGGGACTGGCTCAAAGGTCAAGGTCACAGTGGCCTTGACTTAAAAAACGATTTTCTGCTCAATTGCATAAGAATGCTTTGGTCAACAGTCTTCATATTTGGTATTGAGACTATAGTAGATGACCCCTATTGATTTTTAGGTGACTGTGTCAAAGGTCAAGGTCACAGGGATTTTTACTTTAATAAGCTTGTCTGCTCAAATGCTTAAGAATGCCTGTCCACAGTGTATTGATTTTGACATTTTCACATTTGAATCATGTAGAATACATAACTTAGCAATGCACTGGCTAAGTGACCTCAGATTTGGCAGGGAGGTTGTCCTTGAGCTCTAAATGGCCACTGTTGATTCTTACAAAGTGTTATCAAAGGTATTCACGCCATGTTAGTGGCAGTTCTAGTTATGATTGTTTCAAATTGCAATTGAATGTAGGAAAGCTGCTGTCTTGTCTTTTATGTATTTTTTACTTGACTATACAAAGTGTATGGAGAGCTCTCCTACTCACGTCGGCGTCCTTGTCCAGATTTTATATAAAAGTTTTTGTGCAGTCACATATTTTTATGCCTGGAAGGGAGGCATGATATAATCGCACCGTCTGTCTGTGCATCCCCACTTCATTGTGTCCGGACTGTATCTTTGTCATATATTGAGGGATTTGGAAATAACTTGGCACAAATGTCAACCACATCAACACGATGTGTTGCATCTAAGAACAACGTCCCTACATCAAAAGTCAAGGTCACAATATCATTTTGAAGTTTCACATTATCGCAGTTAGAGTAAATAAGTACACACATTCGTGTCCAGACTGTAACTTTGTCGTGCTTTGAAGGATTTTCAAATAACTAGGCATGAATGTCTACCACATCAAGACGATGTGTCGCGTTCAAGAATTACGTCTCTACCTCAAAGGTCAAGGTCACATTAACATTTTGAAGTTTCCCATTATCACAATTAGAATTAATAGGTACACACAATCGTGTCCGGGCTGTAACTTTGTCATGCATAGAAGGATTTTAAAAAGCCTTGGCAAAAATGTCTACAACATCAACATGATGTGTCGCTTTCAATAATCTTGTCCCTACCTCAAAGGTCAAGGGCTTACTACCATTTTGAGGTTCACTTTATCACAATTAGAGTTTGTTTATAGGTACACACATTCATGGCCAGGCTGTAACTTTGTCATGCATCGAAGGAATTTTAAATAACTTGGCATAAATGTCTACCACATCAAGATGATGTGTCGCGTCAAAGAATTATGTCCAAGGTCAGTCACACTAACATTTTGAAGTTCACTTTATCACAATTAGAGTTTATAGGTACACACATTCGTGTCCGGGCTGTAACTTTGTCATGCATTGAAGGAATTTTAAATAACTAGGCATAAATGTCTACCACATCAAGGTGATGTGTCGCCTCCAAGAATTACGTCCAAAGTCACACTAACATTTTGAAGTTTCACATTATCACAATTAGAATTAATAGGTTCACACAATCGTGTCCGGGCTGTAACTTTATCATGCATGGAAGGCCTTTAAAATAATGTGGCATAAATGTCTACCACATTAAGACGATATGTTGCGTAAAAGAATCACGTTCCAACCTCAAAGGTCATGGTCACACTAACATTAATCACAAATACAGTTTATAGGTTCACACAATTATGTCCGTACTGTTACTTTGTCATGCATGGAAGGATTTTAGAATTTGGCATAAATGTCTACTATATCAGCTTCAAGTTTAATAACACTTCATTTCACAAAAAGAATATTAAGCAATTAGTTACTTTTACTCTCTTTACATTTCTTTATACCTTGCTGAAAAACTTTAGGGGCATTCATCACTTTGCTTGACAGCTCTTGTTCAGGTCTGTTGCGTTGCTTAACATACTGAAATAGAGATTATTGTATCATCATATCATTTTGTAACATCCAGCCTGTATTATTATGTTGTTTTTTTGTTGTATGTAGTTGATATGCTGTATCATGCACTAGAGTCCATTTGACCTAGAGTCTTTAAACTTGATTTAATGATTGTCCTCATTTAGAGCCAGACACCTACTGATATTGCGATCAAAGGTCAAGGTCACAGGGGCCTATATACGGAAATTGTTTCTGCTCAATAACTACAGTTTAATTTGTCCTAGACCCGAAGTCCAAAAATTGTTTCCTATCAAGATTTTGAGATCTATTTCAGTTAGAACCTAGAAACTTGATATTGTAATTTAAGTTTTGATATGTAAATCATCCCTGCTACTTTTCAGGTCAAAAGGGAGCTGTGGAGGGGGAGACAAGCGCTTTTTAGAAAGCATCTTCTAGTTTGTCCTTGAACATAGACTTGTATTGCAAAATGGCATTAAAATCTAGTGACTGTAGAGTGAACTACTTTTAACATTTCTGAAGAAATTTGATTGAATGTTGGAATATGTCATGATTTCTTTATCATTATGGTAATGTTTGTATGCTGCCTTAAGTTTTAGTGCTTCCAACAACATTATATCTTATTCATTGGTTCAGTTTTGTCTACATTGACAATTTCAGCTCAAAATGGTGTGCTTTGGCATGAAGATGTTGGAAACATGACCACATATTCAATGTCAAGTGTATGTTTCAGGGGTATTAATCACCTTCAGTGGTAGTTTTAGTTTAAATAGCACTGTTTGAAGAAAAGGGGAGCTATCTTACTTAACCTTGGCAGCAGCATTGGCAGTGCATATAAATGTTTAAGGTTTTTATGACTTTTTTTATATGCCCGTTTGAAAAACGGAACATATTATGGGAATGCCCTGGCGTGTTATGTCAAATATTCAGCTCCTTGCGGCCAAGGTGAAGATTGCACATATAGGTCAAAGTTCAGATGAAAATGTGTAAAGGGACGGTTTAGTCATCATTTTTGGAGGAATTGTAACACAAATGGTCATTATCATAGACTGCAGCTGTAACACATGTAATTTAGGTCAATATAATTATGCAAGGTCAAGGTCACTAAAGATGATGAAATATTCAGAATTTGTTCTAATTTTGTCCAGAGCAGATCTCCTATACTCATGGAGGGATTTTAATGAAACTTTATTGAAATGTTCACCTCTATGAGAAGCCATGTCACGCTCGTGAACCAAGTCTCTAGGTCAAATTCCAAGGTCATACTTAGAGCCCATGGCAAAACGCTTGTCCGTAGCAAAACTTCTACATGCAAAAAGGGATTTCAATATAACTTGGCACAAATGTTCATCAATGTGTTACCGCCTCCGTGGTCGAGGGGTTAGAGGCGATGACTTCTAATCCATTTACCTCTCTGGCGTGGGTTCGATCCCCGGGAGATGCTTTGGTAGTTTAGCACAGAAGAAGGTAGTCTAGTACTGGTGTAACTCTCCAGGAATGATGGTTAGGAAACTACCCGCCTATATGACTGAAATACTGTTGGGAAAAGGCGTAAAATGATACAAACAAACAATCACCAATGTGATGCAAAGTGTCACATATAAAATTCAGGTCCCTGCGCCCAAGGTGAAGGTCAAACATAGAGGTCAAAGTTCAGATAAATATATGAAGATGTGTATAGGGACCATTTAGTCATCATTTATTGAGGGATTGTAACACAAATGGTCATTATCATGACTACAGCTGTGACGGTCAATATATGCAAGGTTAAGGGCACTAAAGTTGATGAAATATCCAGATTTTGTCTGGAGTATATCTTCTACATCTATGGAAGAATATTTATAATTCTTTTTTAGAAATGTTCACCACCATCAGATGTATTGCTCCATGCATGATTCAGGTCTCTAGATCAAAGGTCAAGGCCACTTTTAGAGCTAATTTAAAAAAACCTTATTCGGGGAAAAACTTCTACATTCATAACTTAAGGGGATTTTAGTATAACTGGGCACAAATGTTTACCATTGTGAGGCTGAGTGTTATGCGCAAAAGTCAGGCCAATGCAACCAATGTCAAGGTCACACATAGAGGTCATAGTTCATGATTAGTGTAGGGACCATTTAGTCATCATTTATTGATGGATTGTAACACAAATGGTAACTTTTATGACTTTAGAACTGGCACATTTAGGTCAATATTTGCAAGGTCAAGGTCATTAGAAATAATAAAATATTCAAATATTGTCCAGAGCATATCTTCTACATGCATGGAGGAATTTTAATGTTACGTTTTAGAATTGCTCTCAGCCATAAGGTCTTTTTCTCTTTCGAAAACTCTTGTCCTGAGATAATATAACTTGGCCCAAATGTTCATCAGTGTGATTCTGGGTGTTGTGCATTAAATTAATGCCCAAATCCCCACCAAAAGCTTTTGTTAGGGGCAGTTGTTGTCACAATGTTGCTCTTGTTTCAAAGCTTGTATTGTCAAACTCCATTGAAATATTGCTTTAATACTTACAATATTTCTTTATCAACATGAACCTAGTCATGGGGGGACATTCAATCAAGCATTTTGTAGGAAGTATGGCCCTAAATGAAGTTTGTACATTTAGAGAATGTTACAGTTTTTGTCACAACTTTTTCCATGCCTTATATTTTGAAACACCAATAACATATTGCTCAGTATTTTAGCATAGGGTCAATGCAAGGTATCATACCCTCCCATCTCTGCTTTGATGATATTGCTTGACTGTTTTCTTTTTCAGGTACAAAAGATACTTGGTATGGAGAACTTGATATTTTAGCAGGGAACCCAGCCAAAGGAGATTCTGTATCAGTGACTGTAAAAAATTATGATGGGAATCAGGAAATAGAAACACAGAAAGCTTATAAAGATAGTGACGATGAGGAAGAAAACCAATACAAGGAATCCACTGAAGAAAAGGGTGAAAGTCCTGGAGATCAAACAAACATGGAGATGGAATTTAGTGGATTAATTCAGGCACTTAATCAAGTTTCTACTCAGGCAGTTGTGTTTGCTTTTACTGAATTCAACAGGCATAAAACAATGGGACATTGTATTCCTTCAATCTACATTGATAGAAGCACTTTTCAGTATGTGATATACAGTCCTGTTGAAGATGTTCTTCTTGTTTCAAATCATATGGTGTACACCTATCCAAAAGACTTCGATAAAGAAACAGGTTATAGGCCATTTATAGTCTTATGGATAATCCTTAACCACAGGTTGTTCTTTAGAAAATGTCCAGATTTCAGAAAGCGTTTCACCAAAAGTGGGTTCCATCAGAAGATTCAGAATTTGGAAGCATACCAAAATTTGACTCAATATTCAAATGTTTTGTCTGTAGAAAGAAATTATAGTTTTGAAAATGATACTCCAAATACAATTCGCCCACCAGCAATGGAGTGGTTTCTTGACAAATGTGACTGACCTTGATTCAGCATAGGAACCCTGAAACTTTTTGTTTTCTTAATATATACAATGATTAATATTTGTAATGAACTGAAACTAAATAAAAGACAAAAATGAAAATAAAACTACAATGTTTGAATGTACAGTATACAGTCAATTGACTATGAACTTCTTAAATAATTTTTTGACCATTTATTGTTAATAGTTGAGAGTTAAAATCAATAAATATTTAAATGCTGAAAAATCATCTTAAAATAGCATATGAGTGGTATTGCTATTCTTAACTATGATTTCGTGACAGGTTTTAGGTATAAACGTTAGAAAATTCCGCATCTCGAATGTTAACATGACAATTGGTTTCACAACGGCCCGGGAAATGAATCCCTTGCTGGTAGGCTTGAATCTGGAGTTTCCGGCCTTCTCTTAAGTTTTAGTATATTTTTTAAGGGGGTCATACTTTACATGGTAATTGATGTCATAATGAACATTCACTTCAAATCTGATACCATGAATTCTGTCACACAATATATCTCAAATAGGATGAAACTATATGATTAGTAACTTTGATCTCTCTATTTGTAATTTGACGTATGAATATGTTACAACAGGGCGAGCTCTTGGTGACATGGAGAGCTTTTGTGATCGCTTTTCGTCCGGCGTCCGTCTGTCCATTAACTTTTACTTTAAACGACATCTCCTCATAAACCACTTAGCCAATTTCATCCAAACTTCACAGGAATGTTTCTTTGGTTGTCAACTTTAAAAATTGTTCAAAGAATTTAATTCCAAGCAGAACTCTGGTTGCCATGGCAACCAAAAGAAAAAACTTAAAATATCTTCTTTGAGAAAACAGCAAGAGCTAGAGCTTAAATATTTGGCATGATACATCACCTAGTCAGTGTCTACCAAGTTTGTAAAAAAGATGCCCTTGGGTCAAAATTGGCCCCACCCCGGGGGGTCATTGATTTTCCTAATTTGTATATAGTAAAAACTTAAAAAATCTTCTTTTAAAAACCCCAAATAGCTAGAGCTTAGTTATTAAGCATGAAACAACTTCTAATGCGTGTCTAGGAAGTTTGTTCAAATAAATGCCCTGGGGTCAAAATTGGCCCCGCCCAAGGGGGTCATTGTTTTTCCCTATATGTACAATGTATATAGTAAAAACTAAAAAATCTTCTTTTAAAAACCCCAAAGAGCTTAAGCTAAGATATTTAGCATGAAACATCTTATAATGGGTTACACACCAAGATTGTTCAAATATAAAGGGCCCTTGGGTTTAAATTGGCCCCACCCCAGGAGTCATTGATTTTCCTTATATGTGTATATGTGTGAAAAATCTCCTTATAAAAAACCGGTTTAGATACTAAGCACGAAATATATTCTAGTTAGTGTCTACCAAGTTCATTCAAATAAAAGGCCTGGGGTCAAAATTGGCCCCTCCTTGGGGGGGGGGGGGGTCATTGTTTTTTCCTATATGTAAAAGTAAAAACTTAAAAATCTTCTTATAAAAACCCCAAAGAGTCAGGGCTTAGATATTTATCATGAAACATCTAATGGCTGTCTACCAAGTTTGTTTCAATCAAAGCTCCTGGTTTAAAATTGGCATTCAGGCCCAGGGGCCTATATACAGGTGAGCGTTTTCAGGGCAATCATGGCCCTCTTGTTTGTAATATAGATTACCCTGTATCTACTAAAAAAAACTATTAAGATATACATTGTGAAACATTTCATACATGTGAAAATGTCATCAAAAATATTTTTCCTATTCTTAATGTAAAAAATGATATGTTCAAAATGTGTAGAACTGCCTAATTAGATGTAGATATTGCTGATTGATAATACCATATGTATGACTAAGTTAGGAAATCATATAGGTTTTAAATATATATAATGCAAATGAGATGCTGTAATGTATGTTCCCAACCATGTTACATAAGTTACTTTTTATATGTATCTTACATGATTTACAACACTTCTTTTTAAGGGGTTCAGTTATATTAGAAAAACATTTTACAATATTTCTTTTAACTATCTATATATGCTAGAAAAGGTTTATTTAATGAAAAAGTTATAATATAGTGTTTGAGAAATGTGCATTTACATACATGTTTGAAATTTTCTTTTCATTTTCACAAATATCTGGAATATAAAATGATATATTTAGTTTGAAATTTACTTACAACACTTTTCGTATTAATGTAGGTATGTTGGGTTGTATAACTCATGTGTTTGCATGCATTAATAAATTTGACATCTTCATTTACATGTAGAAGAAATGATTTGTCATAATACCCCCAAAACGAAGTTGGGTGGGGGGGTGGCTATATAGGAGTCACCTGGTGGTTGGTCTGTCCAGCGGTCCGTTGCATTTTCCTTGTCCGGAGCATAACTTGAAGACTAATGGTTGGAATTAGATATAACTTTATACAATGGTCAAGCACATTGAGAGGAATGCAGTGTAAAAGAACCATAACTTCATCTTGACTAATTACAGAGTTATTGCCCTTTATTACTTTTCCTTGTCCGGAGCATAACTTGAAAACTACTGGTTGGAATTCAAAACAAATTCATACAATTGTCAAGCACAATAAGGGGAAGTGCAGTGCATAAGAACCATAACTCTATCTAAAGTAATTACAGAGTTATTGCCTTTTGTTACTTTTCCATTGCTTTCTTTTGTCTGGACCATATCTTGAAGACTAAAAGGTGGAATTCATATAACTTCATGCAATGGTTAAGCACATTGAGAGAAAGTGCAGTGCACAAGAACCATAATTCCATCTTGACTAATTACAGAGTAATTGCCCTTTGTTACTTTTCCTTGTCTGGAGCATAACTTTAAAACTACTTGTTGGAATTCAGAACAATTTCATACAATGGTCAAGCATAATAAGGGGAAGTGCAGTGCACAAGAACCATAACTCTATCTTGACTAATTATAGAGTTATTGCCTTTTGATACTTTTCCATTGCTTTTTTGTCCGGAGCATTACTTGAAGACTAATGGTTGGAATTCAATATAAATTCATACAATGGTTAAGCACTTTGCGAGGAAGTGCAGTGCACACGAACCATAACTCCATCTTGACTAATTACAGAGTGATTGCCCTTTGTTATTTTTCCTTGTCCAGAGCATAACTTTAAAACTACTTGTTGGAATTCAATATAACTATACAGTTGTCAAGGGCATTAAGAGGAAGTGCAGTGCACAAGATCCATAACTCCATTTTGACAAATTACAGAGTTATTGCCCTTTCATACTTATCCTTGTCCGGAGCATTACTTAAAACATACTTGTTGGAATTCAAAACAACTTCATACAATGGTCAAGCACAATAGGAGGAAATGCAGGGCACAAGAACTGTAACTCTGTCAAGAGTAATTATAGAGTTATTGCCCTTTGTTACTTTTCCATTGCTTTTTTCTTGTCCAGAGCATAACCTGAAAACTGCTTGTTGGAATTCAATACTATTTCATACAATGGTCAAGTATATGGAGAGGAAGTGCAGTGCACAGAAACTATAACTTTTTTCTTGACTTATTTAAAAGATTTTGCCCTTTGTTACTTTTAATTGTCCAGTGCATAACTTGAAAATTAATGGTTGGAATTCAATGAAACTTTATACAATGATCAAGGGCATTGAGATGAAATGCAGTGCACAAGAACCATAACTCTATTTGGACTATTTACAGTTATTGCCCATTGTTACTTTTTTGTTCAGTACATAACTTGAAAACTGGTAGTTGGAATTCAGTACAACTTCATGCAATGGTCAAGCACAATGAGAGTAAGTGCAGTGCACAAGAACTATAATTCCATCTTCAGTATTTATAGAGTTATTGCACTTTGTTCCTTTTCCTTGTCTTTCTGGACTTATTACAGAGTAATTCAATAAAACTTCATCAATGGCCAACCACATTGAAGGGAAATGCAACATACAAGAACCACATCTATCTTTAATTGCCCACAACCATAACTCTATTTTAATTCTTTTACAAGGTATTCTGTTACTAATAACATCCTCATATCCGAAGCTGTCTTGCGGGGGTATTAATCACATTTAGTGATAGTTCTAGTTATGAATATTTTTATTTTATTTATATTTTGCTTGATGTTAAAGAGCCTGTATTTTTGCTTTCTTTGCAAAAGTCCATTAAATAAATAAACTAAAACTATGATAGTTGTTCTTCTGAGTCCCGCATACTACACAAGATTTATAAGTGTATATACTTTGTTTTAGAAACGTTTCACAAAAAGCCCTTCCACTTCACGGGAGTCACATTTTACTAGTATGCATGGGATGTATTTTTTATGTAGCTGGATATTATGTCTTATTCATTTCATATCTAAATGATCAATCCTTCTTGTATTAATAGTTTATAAGTTTAAATTATGAATGATGACGTACATATAAAAACATTTAAGAAAATTATTTCATATATACCGGTAATGAGTAATTTCAAAATCAAAATGCATGTCATAAAATAGTGTTTCCATTCCGAGATGTCTGAATTGTACTGTCAGTAGTAAATTTGATGGATTAACTATGACACGCACATATTTTAAACACGGTCCAAAATATTGTGAAATTCGAAAAAGATCGATGTATCAATAAATGACCGTCAGTTAAAATGATAAACATTTATCTCACACTTATCACTTTTAGTCCTATCGAAACCAACCACTGAAAATCATGATTAATGTTTCTCAGAGCAAAATATGAATTGATGTAAAGTATTTGGATTTCGTTTATATGCAATGAAACGATATATAAATATATCAAAGTAAATCGAATGATAAATAATTAAAGATCAAGAATAGTGTAAGGAAGTGTAATTGTAAAGGTAAAACAGTAAAGCAATGACAGGCATATAACAAAAATAAGAACTATGTACTCAACTTCCCAGAGCAGCTGTGGCGTTCACAGACGCTTGGGGTTTGGAGCTCAAAACGCCTTTAAAATCCAAATAAAATGCATATTTGTCAATCCCAGGACATGTACTGATCATATATATCAAAAAATCTTAATATATGCCGTTTTGAAAAAAAATCATATTTCAATATCTATAATAATACACAAGATAAAAATGTTCGCCGGAAAAAATCCGCACCCCTACCGTCATAATCACCATGTATTTTAATCCATTTCCAATATTTTCACATAATCCTTTGGTCCATCGACACAGAAGATATAATTCTTCACGATGATGGTCAATTTTAAACTTCAACGGTAATATAAACAACGCAACAGCCGAAATAAACATCAATATCCTCGCCGTTTTTTTTCAACGACAAAAACTTTCGATAAATTCAATGGACCAGACGGCTATGAACGAAGCTATCCGATTATGTGGCCCCAGCTTTGCCGTGTGCAAAATGCGCAGCGCTTTTAAGTTTGGGAACCACATAATCGGATAGCTTCGTTCATAGCCGTCTGGTCCATTGAATTTATCGAAAGTTTTTGTCGTTGAAAAAAAACGGCGAGGATATTGATGTTTATTTCGGCTGTTGCGTTGTTTATATTACCGTTGAAGTTTAAAATTGACCATCATCGTGAAGAATTATATCTTCTGTGTCGATGGACCAAAGGATTATGTGAAAATATTGGAAATGGATTAAAATACATGGTGATTATGACGGTAGGGGTGCGGATTTTTTCCGGCGAACATTTTTATCTTGTGTATTATTATAGATGTTGAAATATGATTTTTTTTCAAAACGGCATATATTAAGATTTTTTGATATATATGATCAGTACATGTCCTGGGATTGACAAATATGCATTTTATTTGGATTTTAAAGGCGTTTTGAGCTCCAAACCCCAAGCGTCTGTGGTGGCGTTGTATTCCGAACTTACGGAACAAATGTAACTTAAACTTTTGCTTGCCAAGAGTCCTTAAACAATTCGGCACATTTTTGATGAATCCAATTTTTACAATTAGAACATTCTATACACGTATCATTTTCACACTCATTGGCACATTTAATGCATGGAAATGAATCCATCATGAACCATGAATAAACAAGGTAATGATGCAGTTTTTGCGCGGTATATATATAACTAAAAAGATTCCCGGGAGATATGCTATTCTGCCGTTTTTATTTGAAATTTGTTGAAATAACATAACATAAGTATATTGTTCATGAATTTTTTACAAATTTTATAGCAAAAACATATATAATTAAGTAGCAAGTGCATGAAAACGTGTTTTCAGAAGAGAGAAAAACAAGTTAAATTGACTTAAACCATACATAGTATTTTGCACACTTTGTCTTTATTTTATCATTTCAAATTAATAGCATAGAGTATTATATGGAGGTAAATGCACAAATTATGAAATTCTTATTCTATTTGCGAAATATATATATTTCGATAAATTACAAAGTGATTTTTTAGACGCGGGATTCATAAGTGATCGAATTTATTTATCGATGGCCAATGACAAAATGCTCATGATGCTGGCGAATTTTTTGTTCTCAATTCGCGATATTTAGGACACACTAAAATAAAGTGAAATTCGGTTTCTACTTTTCTAATTTTACATGATTTACATAGAAGTTCTTCTCGCGCGCTATTCTCGTAACGTCCAGTTTCTATAAATAAACTTTGCGAAGATGTTCTTAATCTTGAAAGTGAACACCTATACTTGTTCTCTTTTATGCATCTAAATTGTGTTCTGTTTGAAAATTATGTTTTAATATAAGTGATAAATAAGTGATAACTTCATGATTTTCATAAACAGATCTCACTGTTACCAGGAACGTATATATACATATATGATATATTCTGAAGCTACTGAACATTTCTTAAAGAATAACAGTGATACCTTCATGTTTAAAATCACCAATCTTCAATAGACATATATTTATGCGGGTCAAATATCACTAATGATAGTAAATTATTAAAACAAAAGGTTTCCAGCCGAATATGCATTTTTTTTCTGATTCCAATAGAGCTCACTGCTTGAAAATTACTTTATTGTTTATACATGTAAATAGCATTTAAAGGTTCTTGAATCCTTACGACTAAGAAACGACAAATTAGATATCAAAAAAGATACAACGAATTTTGCACTGTATGAACATATATTCAAACATGTTATGGCAAAGACTACTCATCCTAATTTATTTATACATGTATGTATTATCTTTAAGAATTTATCTCACGAAATCACATTAAGATTATCAAATTTTGTACCAATATGTACTTCTACCTGATAGCGCCCCAATGTCTGCAATTACCAAACGTCATCTCTATCCAGCCAAGACACACACAGGGGAATGGTGATTGTCTCCAATAAGTCTAAGATGTTAATTTTTCATTCCTGTTGCTCTTTAAAAATGGCTATGCTTATTCAAAATGATTAGCTTAAATTAAGTATGTTGTTATATATCAAATATAATGCTTATTTTTACGTATAAAGTAAAGCTACTGCACCCAAGATGACAGAATTGCAAAAAAAATAAAATAAATGTAAGTTTTGAATTTTGTTTAACTCTCTTAGCACGTATCATACCTAAATCCATGACATACCTATGACCTTAAAAAGACATTTAAATCATAAGAATTTTATGCTTTTATCGGTTACAAAAGGTAAAGTATCTACTTTTTTTAATGTATTGGCAGTTATAACAGTCTCAGTAGGCAGGGCTTTTTCTTTTTAATGCGAAAATTGTGGGTTTGATCATAGTCAACTTTTTTTCTCCTTTATAACTCTCGAGACCCTGACGGAAATGCTACACCATGGGCTACTTTTTATATGTTTATCAGAAAAATGTTAAGCATCGTTATTGCTGCAGATGATGAAACGTTGGCAGATGGTCTCCGAGCACTCACAGCTGCAGAGCTCTACATTAATGCAGAGTACTACACTAGACATCCACATATAAGCTTAGCTACTTCAAATCCTGAATTTGTAATATCTGCTGAAAATGTGCACGCTCTATTGCTAACGGCAAAAGAAAGCAAATCATTTGAGGAGACAGGCAATATGAAAGAAACTGTATTTGGTGTGGCCAACGAAACATGCACAAAGGGAAGTTGGTCGTCCTTTATTCACATACTTTCTCTGTCATCTTCGCTGAAACGAAACGTTTGGTCGGTCTACCCAGTGATTAATAAAGGCATTCGTCCACTTTTTCATAGTATGATTGATGCTGGAGTGCCAAACACAATATACATCATGTGGTCACGAGACGGCGATCTTGATAATAGACATGGTTTCAGCCAAACCATTTCGTTCCTCTACTCAGACTTTGACGATAAAGACGATTAAATACTATCACAAGCTCTCGACATTCAAAAAGAATCAGGCAGTGTCGACACTCCTGTTATCGACAAATTGTCGGAAAAAGATGAAGTTGAAAAGAGTACCAATTTAGTACATGAAATTGTCAAATATCTTGAAAAATGTGGATAGAGATGAGAACACATTATCAAAGAAACAGGTGTCCACGCACGGCAGTTTAATTTGTGAAAATGGAATAGAAAACACGCCGATTACGCCAATTGACGATAAAGAATCACCCATGAAAGTAAAAATGACGAGAGACAAAAATTGGAAGTGCATGTAAAATTTACAGAAACCATCAAGAAGTTCAGTAGCACGCAGTCCTAGTGGTACGAACACTGTCGGTGGACCTTGCGAAACAGTTGGCGAAGATGATGTAAAGAAGGAGTCGAATTCGGAAATTGAAAATCAAACAGATGTAGTTCACAGCAGTTATAGTAGTGCACAGTCAAGACAGTGTTTGGTTGAGCAACTTACTGTCCACTTAAACGGTGAGACATCATCAGACTGTCAGAAAGATGACATCAAAAATGATGTAGATTGATCAGAGACTGCAAAAGCATAACGATTTGACAGAAAATATGAAAGCTTTTGACGGAAGTTAAACGCGTTCTCAAATGGATATAAACGATACGATTCACAAACATACATCTGTTGACAATGATTTAGCTGTTGAGAAAGAAAAGGAGGTAATTATATCTTCTAATCTTCTCACCGACCAAGAACAGCCTATATTCGAACGTGACAAAGCAACACGTCATAACTTGGAACATGAAGAAATGTACATCAACTCAGCGGCTGAAGATAAAGATAAGCAATCGAAAGTAACTCATGAAATAACAGACACTGCAATATATTCAACAGAAGACG